CTCCCGCGGTTCTCCCCCCTCACCCCTGGAAAGTACAAACTGCCCCCCGCCGACACCTGAGACCCCCTCCACCGGGGCCCGCGAACCCGAAGACACGAACGCGAGGGGCCCGGAACAAGGGCCCGTTTTCCAATGACGTCCGGGAAGGGCCAGCCCGTAGGGACGTTTTTGTCACATTTCGACGCACCAAGCCCCCCTCGCGACAATTTTGACGTGCAGCCACCGTTCGATGCGCGGATCGAACAGACTAGAATCCGCTCGCAGACCCTGCACGGAAATCCGAAACGGAAGGCCCGAGGGGGCCTCGTGTCCCGCGCGCCTACAAATACGAGCGGCGCCCTGGGCATTGACGATGCGTTTTGCGTTTTTTGCTGGGGAGATGCTGCCCGACGGAAGCCACGCACTGCCACTCTCGTCAATAGTTGGCGCGCCATAGCTAGCACAGCCATTATTCACCGCGCACGTTCCGTGGCACCGACGCACCCCACATGCCCTCGCATGTCCCTCCGCCTTCCAAGTCGCTGTCCACGTCATATTCGACGTCGCTCCCGATCTCCTTTCTCGGAAGGCGCGACCGCCACCCCACGCAGCACCGCAGCAAACGCGAAGTGCACGACCAAAGGTGGAAAGAGTGTCGTCACGACAAACGCCGGGGTTCGCGTTCATCTTCACTCGGCAGTTCCACACGGTGAGTGAGCACGCAGTCGGGATGTACGTTTGCATGTGCGCGCGTGCGGGGGAGGTTTTTTGTGACGATATGCTCGCGCAGATCGAAAGATTTCGTGGCTGCATGTGTGCGGGTAGGCGTGTGTGTATGTGTGTGTTTGTGTGTGATTGTGTGTTTAGGCATGCTTCATTGTGTGTGTGTGTGTGTTCGAGTGCGTGTCCCTTTGTGTTTGTGTCTGTATTGAAGTGTGTGCCACACGCGCGAGGCAGGATCGTGCGCGCGTCTGTACCTGAGGGGCGTGTGTGTGCGGGCGCTGTGTGTCGGCGCGTGTGTGTGTGTGTGTGTGTGTGTGTGTGTGTGTGGGCGTGTGTGTGCGGGCGCTGTGTGTCGGCGCGTGTGTGTGTGTGTGTGTGTGTGTGTGTGTAAGTGTGTGTGCCTGTCTGTGCATATGTGTTCGCGTGCGTGTGTGTTCGCGCGTGTTTTCCGGGGGGAGATGCGCGCGAACGTGCGTGGTCAGGGACGAACGTCATGGTTCACCCTTCGATTCCGCTTGTGTGTGGATGTGTGAGGATGTGTGAGGAGAGTATCAACAAACGATTGCGCTCGTGCTGTACTCAAGTGGCGAAGCACGGAAGCTCGGATCGAACACGGGGCGGCCAATAACGAAACACAACGTCATCGTGAGCACTTGCCGTACCCGATCTGCCCCAATGGATGATCAATCGAAACACTCGGTGGCAATGTCGACACAGCTTGGATCGAACACGCGACGGTTTTGTGTGCTGTCCCAATGTCATGTCCGCCGATCTGTCCAATGGATGATCAATCGAAACACGCGGCGGTTTTGTGTGTTGTCCCAATGTCATGTCCGCCGATCTGCCCAATGGATGATCAATCGAAACACGCGGTGGCAATGTCGACACAGCTAACGAATCCATCGACCAATCGCGAAACACGATTAGATCACTCGCGATCGGATGATTGGTCGTGTCTGCCATGTCGACGCTACCACCGCGTGTGTGTTGTTCTTTCTGTCGTGTGTGTTCAGATCACTCGTGATCTGATGGTCGATCAGATCCATGACAATATGTACACCACACACGTGATGAACCAACCCATCACGAAACGCAAGCCGACCACTCGCGATCGGTGATAGATGCTGTTTGCCTCCCCAACAACAGCGCGGCTGATCTACCTGACGGATGATTAACCAATGCAGGAGGCGACAACGCATCCAACCGACCAATCGCGAAACGACAGAAGATTACTTGCGATCGAATGATTGATCGTGTATGTTGCACCAAAGATCAACCAGCCGGCGAGCGACCTGTTTATTTACCCACCTGACAGTCCTCGACCGAACCGTCGATCGGCCAAGAAATCTGCCAGGATCAATTGATTGGTCGACAACTCGGTTGGCGATTGCTCTGCTGGTTGATCAACTACCATACCAACTGCCAACCGAGCAGCCGATCGACTGTTCTGTGCCAATTGATCGTGGAGAACGATCGCGGAGAATCCTCAAGGCAAATGATCATGTGCGCGGTTGAAACCGGCGAACGAAACGCACAACCGATCGGAAAAACGTCAATCCCGATCTTCGAACGAATAAAAAACACTTCGTCACAATCTTGTTGCACATCGAACCTCGTATAACATCGAACCATGCTGCCCACGGAACCTGGCTCCACATCAAACCTCGGCGGGCGTCGAACCTCGTCGGACGTCGAACTTTGAGCACCCACCACCCCACGTGTCGCCAACACTGTTCTCGTGATCGGAACGTGGCCGTTCCAACCGAACTGATCGCGCAATCAAACACCGGAAGAAGTTGCGATCCCGGCGAGCTTGTGCAGCTGTTCGAACACGCTTCTCAACCCCGGTGCGCAACCACAGCCAGGGACGTGGAAAATTAGAAGTCCGCCGGGATCCGAACTTCAAGAAATTGCTGGAYGGCGAGTTTGGCAGACACGTGTGCATCTCCCACGCAATTTCGCCAAGTTCGGATCCCGRCGAACTTCATGCAGYTGTTCGAACAYGCTTCGCAACCCCGGTCCCCAACCACAGCCCGGGACGTGTAAAAATTGGAAGTCCGTCGGGATCCGAACTTGAAGAAATTGTTGGACGACGCGTGTATGTCTCCCACGCAATTTCGCCAAGTTCGGATCCCGGCGAACTTCATGCAGCTGTTCGAACACGCTTCGCAACCCCGGTCCCCAACCACAGCCCGGGACGTGTAAAAATTGGAAGTCCGCCGGGATCCGAACTTGAAGAAATTGCTGGACGGCGAGTTCGGCAGACAGGTGTATGTCTCGCACGCAATTTCGCCAAGTCCGGATCCCGGCGAACTTCATGCAGCTGTATGTCTCCCTCTCAACCCAGGTCCGCAACCACAGCCTGGGACGTGGAAAAATATGAAGTCCGCCGGGATCCGAACTTCAAGAAATTTGCAGGACGGCGAGTTTGGCAGACAGGTGTGTATCTCCCACGTAATTTCTCAAAGTTCGGATCCCGGCCAACTACAAGTTCCTGCTGGCCTGCGGATCCAAACCTCGCTCGCACTATTCCTTGCTCCCGGGGTTTGGCACAACTTTGTATTTGAAAAAATGTGTAGCCCGCCGGTTGATTCTCTCCCACGCGGTCTCGAGAAGTTCGGATCCCGGCGAACACCCTTCCGTGGATCCGGACATCACGTGGCAAGTTCGGACCCCGGCGAACTTCGCGTCGCGCATGGTGTGGGTACTGACTGTGTCCTTTCTCGCGAACGGGTGTTTGCCATAACTTTTGTTTCGGAAAAATGCGAAGTCCGCCGGGATCCGTACTTCTCGTGCAAAGGTTCCTCGTCCCATCGTCGGGTTCGCCTGCTGGGCTGTGGATCCGAACCTGTTCTCGTCCTTTCGCAATGCATGTGGCAGGAGATGTTCCTTTCGCAAGTTCGGATCCCGGTGAATTTTCCAAGTTCGGATCCCTGCGAATTTGAGCTGTCTTCCTTTCGCAATGCATGTGGCAGGAGATGTTCCTGCAGGGCCGTGGATCAGAACCTGCCGTGCACGGTTCCTCAGACAATCGTAAATTTCAGATCACGGCGGACTACGGATTCTATAAAATGCAAAGCCTGCTGAGATCCGAACTTCCCGTGCACGGTTCGTCGAAAAACCGTGGACTTCGGACCCCGGCGTGCTTCACCTTTCGGGTGGTGCGGGTTCTGACTGTGGACTTCCTGGCGACCGGTGGATTGCCACAACTTTTCATTTGTGCGAAATTGAAGTCCGCCTGGATCCGAACTTCTTGGCAGTTTTCGACGTCGGGTTTGGGAGACAGCTTCGTCTTTCCCGCGCAGTCTCTCCAAGTTCGGATCCAGGCGAACATGTCGCTGGGTGTGTTTGCGGCTGGCCCACGGGCCGGTAGATGTGAACACCGACGAAACCGGCAACCCGAAATCGGATCTTGGGGCATACACTGCGTCTAATGCCATGGGTCGCACATCGCGAGACATGACGCGTTTACGAGTGTCTCCGTGCCCGTGTATGTCGTCGGGCATGTGCGAGTGGTGTGCAGGGTGCATGATGGAGGGGACCTTCTCG